GCTGCACTCTCCCGAGTGAGCCACGGGCCGGCCCCTTTTCTTGGAGAATCCTGAGTTTATTTACCTCTTTTACTATTGAGATAAGATAATCCTGTTGCAGAGATTTTGGAAAACAGATAAAAGAATGAAAAAAATAAACCTCGAATCCTACCTATCTAAACCAATTGCTGTTAGCAGGTGCTGTATTTTCTTTCTGTCCTACAGAAGGACTTTTTGTCAGGACCCCTGGGGATGAAACAGACCACCTCCTCTTTTTCCCCAGTGCTTGGCAAATGGCAGGGGCTCTGTGAATGGGAGAACGTCGGAATGGATGGGTGCTCTAAAGGGGCTTGGCTTGGATGACCTTTAAGATTCTTCTGGACTCTGAAAAACTCAGGATTCTTTGATTCATAGCAGATGCCTGGGGATGACCTGGGGTTCAGTCCCAATGCGCCAGGCCCTTGCTGGGGTCCCAGAGGTGACTGAAACATAGCTCCTGACCCAGAGGAGCTTGATTTAAGCAGGCATGGGTGTCTCTCGACTTTCCAAGCCTTGGTGAATGAAGCTGGGACTCACTTTCATGGCATATTTCACTCGCTCTCTCATCAGATATCTGTTGAGCACCTACTACACTCTGAAGTGCACTGGGGGCTATTTTCTTTGGGGAGAAAATGGTGGGGTACAAAGTACATGAATTTGGGGGCAGGTACTCCAGGCTTCTGCCCCTTCCTGGCTGTGTGGCTCTGGCCCAGGTTACCTAACCTTTCTGAGCATCCACCTCCTCCTTTGTAAAACAAAGTCACATCTACTGTGAGGCTTAACTGGGTAACATATGTGAAACCCTTGCAACTAGTAAATGCTCAGTATAAATTTTTCCCACCTCCCGGTCCTCTCATCCCTTCCTCCAGTACCAACACCACCACCCACCATTTATTCAGCATACATGGTGAACCAGGCAGAAGTGGGGTTGCATATCAGTTAATTCTGAAATTAATGGCCCCAGGAGGTCAGTAGCATTGTCCTTGACTTGTTTTGATATCCAATTTAAGGAACCAGAGGGAGCTCCCCACCTTCAATATACCACTTCTGCAAGTCTATCTTTTAGTGTCAGACGTGGGTGCATCCTTGTCTCGGCTGGGAGGCTGCTAATGTAAACACTGACATTTTATTTGCTAAAACAGTTTACAAAAAAAAAAAAGAGGAATCTTAGGCTGAAACTGGACTCTTTACAAGTATACTTCAGAATGCATGAGCAGTTTCCCTTGAAAGGCAAAATATGGTGAATATGATTTGGGGGATGGAAACACACCTGTGTCGCCCCAATGGACTTTGGAGCACGATGTGGGTCCGATTTCTCAGGGGCTGGAGGCTTTGTTTCCAAATCCTCTGCTTTCTTGCTGATACCTAACGGGAGATTAAGATGCATCTTCAGGGCCGGCCCGGTGGCGCACTGCTGCAGTGCGCTGCTTGGGAAGTGCGGCGGCGCTCCTGCCGAGGGTTCGGATCCCACATACAGACCGGTTCCCGCTCACTGGCTG